GCTGCCGTCACCGATGCTCCACCCGGTCCCGCCCTCCAGGCCCGCCGCCAATGCAGCTTCCCTCTCCTGGTTCTGGCCTCAAGTCCTCCGCCTCAGTTTCCCCAGCCCCGATACTCAGCTTCTTTTGGATCCTCCGAGGCTCCTACCATCTTCTTCTCCACGGCATACCCTGCCTGGCTGCTCGGTGGAAGTCAGGGACACTGCAATGGTTGAGGCCTGTGTGGACCGTGCTGTTCCTGGGCGCTGAACTTGCCTCCTCTAGGAAGCCCACCTGGCTGCCCCGGTCTGCAGCGCTCACCTGCAGGGCACAGTGTCTCATGTATGCAGTCCCTGAAAAGCAGACTGCCTGCAGTATTCGCTCCACGCAGGGCCCAGTGCCTGCTTTATACACCTGCTTCAGGGCCCAGCAAGGGACAGTCCTTGGAAACATCTCAGAGTATAACCACCCAGTGTCATTTTGCAGACCAAGGTGTGCACCCACTGTGGGCAAAGCAGCCAGTGCCAGCGTGGGGAGGAGGCCACCCTGGGCCCTCACTCTTACTTGTGATGTGCATCATCCCATTGAAGAAAAGAGTTAAGGCCTAGCACGGTGTGTCCGAAGGGGACCCACTGAACAGGGGCCAGAGCGGGTGGTCTAGCCGGGGCCAGCACAAAAATAAAGGGCAGTCCTGAAGTCCCGGGGTGGGAGGAAGGGGCCTCAGTGAAGCAAAGATAAGGACACTGATTGCAGGGGAAACATGCAATAGGAACTATACTCTTTAGCAGGCCCTGAAGGGGAGGTATACATCAAGTACCACACCCTTCATAACAGACACGCATATACAGGAAGCACTATGTTTTGCAGAGTGTGCATACAGCAGGCACAGCCCGGCATGGCGCCATATACTATAGGCATTCTCTCTTGTGGGGGTAGTATACAGGAGGCACACTGCTCTGCAGGCACTGCCTACAGTACACACTATGTTCTGAACAGTGTGTCACTGGACGTGGCTTTCTCCAGAGTCCCTACAGCAGTCGTTATTCTGGGTGAAGCAGGAGCGCCGCAAATACCGAGTCCTGGCCTGGCAGTGGCGGCGCACACCTTAATCCCAGCACTCGGGGGGCAGAGACAGGCGGATTTCTGTGAATTCGAGACCAGCCTGGTCTACAAGAGCTAGTTCCAGGACAGCCTCCAAAGCTACAGAGGAACCCTGTCTAGAATCCCTCCAAAAAAAAAAAAACCAAACAAACAAACAAACAAAAACTGAGCCCTGCAAGGAGGCCTACAACAGGCACTGATCCCCCCAGAGCATTTACTGTATGTGTGGAGCTCTGCAGGGTGTGTACAGAGCAGGCTCCGGGCAGCACCACGTGCAGTCCCGCCTCCATCTGGCAGAGGGCGCAGCAGGGCGCCAGAGTTCCGTTAATTTTGCGGCTGAGGACAGCTCAGCCCCACACCTCCCAGCCTGCTGGGTCCCCACCCGCAGAGCTCCTAGGACCCATTCCCCGAGGTCGGACCAGGACGAGATGCAGACAGGGGAGAGAGGATAGTGGGGTTTTTGGTTACCCATATGCTCAGGGCCCTGGGCTCACAAACCGAATGGCCAGCAGCTTGGCTTACACTTTAACATTTATCAAGAGGGTACAAGTGGGCTTGGTCATACAGGATCAGGAGTTTAAGGTCATCCTCAGCTACATGAAACTCAGTCTCGACAGGAGACAGGGCTCTGGTTTTTTTTTTTTTTTTTTTTTTTTTTTTTTTTTGACAGGGTTTCTCTGTGGGTTTGGAGGCTGTCCTGGAACTAGCTCTTGTAGACCAGGCTGGTCTCGAAATCACAGAGATCCGCCTGCCTCTGCCTCCCGAGTGCTGGGACTAAAGGTGTGAGCCACCACCGCCCGGCCTGGGGTTGGGTTTATCTGGCACCGCCACCCCTAAGTGCAAGTAAAGCCTGGCTGGGGTCATCCCCAACACAGCAACCAGGAGCGGTTACACACACTTGACATCCCAGAACTGCGGAGGGTGGAGGCAGGAGGATCAGGAGTTCAAAGCCATCGCTGGCTAATCAGGAAGGAGGCTGTGAACCTCATCAGAACTCTCCCAAGGTCCCTGGGGCCTGAGACTTTGCCACCTGGTTCCTAGGATGCTCCCTCCTGCTTCCTGAGGACACTGGGGTCCTATCATTGCTATCCAGACTCTATGCCTCTCTGGGGCTCCTGGCTGTTCCATGACACAGGATGAAGGGGGCAGAACAGGACCCACACTGTCCAGATCATCCTGTGTGTGTGTTGGGGGGGGGCTCTGGGCTCCTGTCTTCCCTGTGGGATGCTAACTGGTGGAGGAAACGTTTTTTCTTTTGTTTTTTTCCAGTGACTGGCACTGTGCTCATGTACCTAGTACCTGCTACATTGTCAACCCAAGAGCTGCAGGGAGGCAGAAGCAGGGTCTGAGAAACTGGAGTTCCTGAATCCAGCATGACCTGAAGCCGGATGCCTCAATTGTTTTCTACTTTGGCAACACTGGGTTTGGTTGGCTTGTGTGCACGAATGTGTGTGGAAGCCAAGGGTGGACTTCAGGCTTCTTCCTTAATTGCTCTCTGCCCTGTGTTTTTTCAAACAGGGTCTCTCTCTCTCTCTCTCTCTCTCTCTCTCTCTCTCTCTCTGTCTCTCCTTGGAACTCACAATCACCTAGGCTGCCTGACCAGGGAGCCCTGATTCTTCCAATCTCCATCTCCCCATCTCTGGGGTTATAGCTGTGTATCCCAAGCATTGTTTTGAGACAGGGTTTCAAATAGCCCAGGCTGGCTATTTGTAGTGAAGGATGATCTTGACCCTAAACTCCAAATCCTCCATTCCTAAGTTTTGGGATGACAGGTATGTGCTACCATGCCTGGCTCACCCCCACCCCTACCCCGCCTCTGTCTCTACACACTCAGCTCTTTCCCTGCCATTAGCAAAAAGACCCACACAGACAGAAACCTGGCCAGTTCCGATGTGCTCACAGCACCCTGCTCAGCAAGTTGATCAATGTCCCCACTTAGAGGTCAATGCCATGTCCGGCAGGAGAAAGGATGTGGGGAGGGGCCTGTGCCGGAGGAGTCCCACCTGCTGGTCAGTGGCACCAAGGACAGGTCCCCTGAGGACAAGTCCTCTCAGCAGGAACATGGACAACTCAGGAAGGCAGGGGACCAGGGACAAGGACAAATCAGACCTTGAAGCTGCAGGTAGAACAATTTGAGGGCAACAAGGGGCAGGTGAAACTTCAGGGCCTACCCCTCAATTCCCAGCACTCGGGAGGCAGATGCAAGCCAGCCTGGTCTCCAGAGCGAGTGCCAGGACAGCCAGGGCTTCCCAGAGAAACCCTGTCTCATGAAGAGAGAGAGAACAGGGGTTGAAGAGATGGCTCAGAGTTTGCTCCTGCCAATTTCAGCTCCCAGTACCTGCAATGGGCAGCTCTGGGGGAATCGGGGTGGAGGGACTGTAAGCACATGCACTTACCCATACCCAGATATACACATAATTAAAACTAAAATAAAAATTCAATAACTAGGCCAGGTAGTAGTGGCACACGCCTTTAATCCCAGCACTTGGGAGGCAGAGGCAGGCAGATCTCTGTGAGTTCGAGACCAGCCTGGTCTATAAGAGGGAGTTCCAGAACAGCCTCCCAAGCCACAGAGAAACCCTGTCTCAAAAAGCCAAAAAAAAAAAAAATTCAATAACCATAAAGTGTAAAAACAAAGAAAAAGTCAGAGCAGAGCCATTCCGCAATAGGAAATCCTCTTTTTTTTTCTTCAAATTTTACTTTATTTTTCTTTTAATTTTTTTCATCTTATTTTTAGTGTGCATTAGTACTTTGCCTGCATGTATGTCTGTGTGAGCATAGTGGATCCTGGAGCAGGAATTACAAACAGAGCTGCCTGCCACATGGGTGCTGGGAATTGAACCCAGGTCCTCTGGAAAAGCTGTCAGTGCTCCTAACCGAAAAGCCATCTCTCCAGCGGGGAGAATTATGACCTTGATTCTCCAGCTGTAGCATTGTTCAGAGAGCTGCACTCCTGTCTGTCGCTGTATGATACTCCTGCGTGTGGATGGGGCACACTGTGGCCACATCCATCTTGGATACTGGGCTGTCCTGGAAAGGTTTGAGGCAAGAGTGCTCTGTGGAGACACAACAATGAGTGCAAAGGCCCTGGGTCGGATAGGCTGGGTGTGGGTGTGAGAAGTTACAGGAAGACCCCAGTAACCCAACTCTGAGGCTACCACAGCGTGGAGACCTTCATTAGCTTTTTGGAGTTTCTGGAGTGGACAGGAGACAGTTGACATCCAGGCGGCTCTCTGGCCAGCGGGGATGGGTTCAGAGGGGATGGGTTCAGAGGTGGGCAAGTCCTCTGGTCCCTGTCGCTGTGAAAGTCTCCCTAGTTCTAAGTCCCCAGTTGGGTTCTAGCCTCAGTGGCCCTGAGGGCAAACAGCTCCCACCTGGTTCTGCAGATCAGCTCTGCCAAGAGCCCTTGCTCCAGGCTCTGAATTTGAGAGTCTCTGAGTGAGAGGTGGGAGGGACAAGAGAGGCTC